TCAGCGGTTAGAGTGTCTGCCTGCGGTCCAGAGAGACCCGGGTTCAGTTCCCGCTGAGGGCATGTGCCTGGGTTGCAGTTTGTCCCCGACCCTGGTCCAACCAGGGTCGTGCGGGTGGCAGCCACTCGATGTGTCTCTTTCACATTGATGTTTCTATCTCTCTCTTCCTTTTTCTCCCTCCTGCTCTATCTGAACAAAAAATGAAAATATATCCTCGGGTGGGGATTAAAAAACAAAACAAAACTAAAAAAAGAACCAAAGTGTTTGAGATAGAAGACATTTGAGGTTTGACTATATAAACAATATATGCCAACAAACTGAACAATATAGAAGAAATGGATAAATTTTAAGAAACATACAACCTTCCAAGACTAAACCAGGAAGAACAGAGAATCTGAAAAGACCAATTACTAGCAATAAAACTGAAGCAGTAATTTAAAAAACTCCCAAAAAACAAAAGCTCAGGACCAGTTTCAGAAATGAATTCTACCAAATATTTAAAGAAGAATTAGTACCTTTCTCAAACTATTCAAAAAAATTGAAGAGGAAGCCCTGGCCAGGTGGTTGAATTGATTGGAGCACTGCCCCATACACCAAAAGGTTGTGGGCTTGATTCCCAGTCAGGACACATACCTAGGTTTCAGGTTCAATCCCGGGTCAGAGTACACACCCAGGTTGTGGGTTTGATCCCTGGTGGGGGTATGTATGGGAGGTAACCAATCAATGTTTCTCACATAGATGTTTTTCTCTCTCTCTCCTTCCTTCTCTCTATCTCTGAAAATCATATCCTCTAGTGAGAATTAAATTTTAAAAAACTGAAGAGGAAATACTTCCAAACTCATTCTATGAGGCCAGCAATACCCTGACACTGAAACCAGACAAGGATACTACAAAAAAAGCAAATTACAGACCAGTATCCCTGATGAATATAGAAGCCAAAATTCTCAAGAAAATACAAGCAAATTGAATTCAGCAGTACATTAAAACTATTATACACCACCCAGCCCCTGTGGCTCAGTGAATTGAGCGCCCTCCCATGCACCAAGAAGTCAATGGTTTGATTCCCGGTTGGGGCACATGCCTGGGTTGTGGGCTCAATCCCCAGTAGGGGTCATCCAGGAGGCAGCTGATGGATATTGATGTTTCTCTCTCATCAATGTATCTATCTCTCTCTTTTCCTCTTTCTCTAAAATAGTGTGTGTGTGTGTGTGTGTATACACATATATTTCTCAATAAGAAAAAATATATAAAAGCAATTATATATATATATATATATATATATATATATATATATATATATATATTTTTTTTTTTTTTAAGTACATAAAGTATTATATAGCTTGATTAAGTTGGATTTATACCAGAGATGCAAGGCTGGTTAAACATCCACTAAACAATTAATGGATTTATCACATAAATAAAACCAAGGGTAAGAATCATATATTTCAGTACACGTAGAAAAAGCATTTGACAAAATTCAACATCCATTTATGATAAAAACTCTCACAAAGTGGGTACAGAAGAAACTTATCTCAACTTGATAAACACCACAGATGATAAGCACACAGCTAAGATCAGATTCAGGAACGAGTTCCTCTAAGACTAGGAACAAGACAAGGATGCCCACTCTCACCACTATTATTCAACATAGTATTGGAAGTCCTAGCCACAGCAATCAGACAAGAAAAAAATGAATAAAAGGCATCCAAACTGGAAGGGAAAAAGTAAAACTGTCACTATTTGCAGATGACATGATACTATATATATAGAAAACCCTAAGAATCCACCAAAAAAATGAAGACTTAGTAAAGAATTCAGTAAAGTAGCAGAATACAAAATTAATATATAGAAATACATTGTGTTCCTATACACTAATAATTTCTCAGATGGAGAAATTAAAATACCTAGAAATAAATAGAACCAAGGAGGTAAAAGACCTGTACTCCAAAAACTAAAGGATACTGAGGGAAAAGAATAAGGAGGATACAAATAAATGGAAGTATATACTGTGCTCATGGATGGAAAGGAGTGATATCGTTAAAATGTCCATACCACTCAAAGCAATCTACAGAATCAATGCAATCTCCATCAAAATACCAATGACATTCTTCTCAGAACTAGAACAAATAATCCTAAAATTTATATGGAACCATAAAAGGCCACAAATAGTCAAAGGAAATCTGAGAAAGAAGAGCAAAGCTGGAGGTATCATAATTCCTGATTTCAAACTATACTACAAAGCTATAATAATCAAAACAGTATGGTACAGGCACAAAAACAGATACATAGATCAATGGAACAGAATAGAGAGCCCAGGAATAAATCCTCACTTATACAGTCAATTAATCTATGACAAATGAGGCAAGAACATACAATGAGGTAAAGACAGTCTATTCAATAGTGGTGCTGGGAAAACTGGACAGATACATGTCAAAAATTAAAATTGAACCACTTTCTTACATCATATATCAAAGAAACTCAAAATGGATGAAAGACTTAACTGTTACTCCTGAAACCAGAAAACTCTAGAAGAAAACAGGCAATAAATTCCCTGACATCATTCTTAACAATATCTTTTTAGATATATCTACTTGAGCAAGGGAAACAAAGAAAAAATAAACAAATGGGACTATATCAAACTAAAAGATTTTTGCACAGAGCAAAGAAAGCCATCAACAAAACAAAAAGAACTTACTGAATAGAAGATATCAGCAAATGATACATCTGATAAGGGGTTAATATCCAAAATATATAAAGAACTCATATACAAGTTAACAAGAAGAAGAAGAAGAAAACAGATGAAAAAATGAGCAAAGGACCAGAATAAACATTTCTCCCAAGAGAACATAGAGATGGCCAACAGACATATAAGAAGACACTCAAGCCCCATCCAAAAGGCTCAGTTGGTTGAAGTATCATCCTATACACCAACACCAAAAAAGGTTGATTCTCAGTTAAGGCACAAACCTAGGTTGCAGGTTTGATCTCCAGTCAGGGCACATATGGGAGGCAACTGATCAATGTTTCTCTCTCATATTGACACCCTGGCCAATTTGGCTCAGTGGTTAGAGCGTAGGACTGTGGTCCAGAGAGACCCAGGTTTGGTTCCCGCTAAGGGCATGTACCTCGGTTGTGGTTTGTCCCCGGCCCTGGTTGGGTTGTGCAGTTGGCAACCACTCGATGTGTCCCTTTCATGTCGATGTTTTTTTTTCTCTCTCTCTCCCTCCCACTCTATCTGAACAAAATATGGAAAAATGTCCTCGGGTGAGGATTTAAAAAAAAAAGAGAATGTTTCTTTCATATTGATGTTTCTCTCTCTGTCTCTTCCTCCCTTCCTCTATCTCTAAAATCAATCAACAGCCCTGGTCAGGGTGGCTCAGTTGGTTGAGTTCACTGGTAGGATTTCCAGTCAGGGCATATGCCTGGGTTGCAGGCTAAATCCCCAGTGGGGGGCATGAAGGAGGCAGCCAATTGATGTTTCTCTCCCTTCCTCTCTCTCTAAAATTATTAAAAACATATTTTTTTAAGAAATCAATAAACATATCCTAGGGTGAAGATCTAAAAAAATTTTTTAAACACACTCAACATCACTAATCATCACAGAAATGCAAATCAAAACCACTATATCACCTCACACCTGTCAGATGGCTATCGTCAATAAATCAACATAAAACAAGTGTTGGTGAGGATGTGCAGAAAAGGAAACCCTTGTACAGTGTTGATGGGACTGTAAAGTGGTGCAACCACTATGGAAAACAGTATGGAGCATCCTCAAAAATATTAAAAATAGAGCTACCATAAGATCCAGCAATTCCACTTCTGGGTATTTATCCAAAGAAAACAAAGACACTAATTCAAAAAGATATATGCATTCCTATATTCACTGCATCATTACTAATAATAGCTAAGATATGGAAACCTAGAAGTCCATCCATAGATAAATGAATAAAGATGTGGTCTGTATAAACAATGGAATATTATTTAGCCCTAAAAAGGAATGAAATCTTGCCACTTGCAACAACATGGATGGACCCAGAGTTTATATAATGATGTTAAGTGAAATAAGTCAGAACAAGAAAGACAAATACTGTATGGCTTCACTTATATGTGCAATCTAAAAAAATAAAACAAGTAAATATACAAAACAGAAACAGACTCATAGATATAAAGAACGAGATGATGGTTACTAAAGGGGAGAAGATGGGGTAAAAGGGAGGGAAAAAAAAGAAAGTCTGGGCATGGTGGGGCTGGGTCCTTTGCTGTCTCACAAGCAAAATCAAGGTGTAGGCCAGACTGTGTTCCCACTGGAGCTTGGGGTCTTCTTCCAACTCTAGTTGTGGCGGCAGAATCAGTCTTTGCAGTTGAAGCCCTTGTTTCCTTGCTCTCACTGTCTAAAGGACACCAGCACTCCTTGTTACTGGTCCCCTCAAAGCAGGCAATAGTGCAATGCACCCTTCTGGTGCTTGGAATCTTTACTTCCTCTTCTGCCACCAGATGGAGAAAATAGCTATCAAGGAAATGGGGACCTCATTCCTACATCATAAGGAACTGAATTCTGTCAACAAATTGAGCCTGAAAGATGAAAGCCCAGGTTGCCTGACACCTTGATTTTGGTTTTTGAAGCATCCACCTCAGCCACCAGGTCTTCTGATCTCTAGCACTGAGAGATAATAAATGGGTGTTGTTTTAAGCTGCTAAGTTTGTGATAATTTGTTAGGCAGCACACAGAAAAAAACAACAACACACAAATACAACACCTCTAATAGAGGCTCATGGGAATTGCAGATTCACATCTCATGTCCTTCAGTCTGTCCAGACATTTGTTCACTCTGGAATTATGAGTAGAATCTACCACCATTATTTAACTTGAGCACTTGAGCTTTTATTGGTTAAGCAAGAATAATTCAATGAGTGTAAGTTAACCCATAAATGACTCAACCCCATTATCCCTGGAGAGCATCTCTGTCATACTGAATTACGTGGAATTTTGTACAACTCACCTCATTGGTCCCTCCTTGAGAAGCATAGGTGAATACACAAGTATATTTGTCCTAGAAAATGGAATGGTAAAAAACTCTTAGTAAAATGTAATCCTTAGAGCGTAAGATGCAGGGTCTCAGTATGTCTTTCTAAGAAGATCCTGCTCTTGAACATCTGCACGAAAGAGGAAGGAGGCAGGGCCAGATGTCTCTGGCAGAAGTCCTTGGAAGCCAGACCAGCATGGCCTCCCAGTGGGTGACAACCGAATTCCTCTGCCTGCCTCCCTACTAGTGAGCTCCTGGGTTAGGACAAACAACCCATGTGGCTTCTGGGAAATAAAGAACAGGAAGGAGGAGGTCACACCCCCTCCAGCACCCACCTCTCTAGGAACCAGGGCTTTGGGATACCTGGAGGCCCACTTTGGAAGCAGAAACACCAGGGGGCCCATCTCTAAGCTGCTGTGGCTCTTGGACAGGTGCAATCCTTTCTGAGCCTCTATTCCCTCATCTGCAAAATGGGCCCAATATATAAAGCATTCCACACAGTACCCAGCTGTAAGTTCGTATTCAACAAGTAGTGCAATCGATATTGTCACAGATACGGAAAAGGAGAATAGACGGAAAAGGAGAATAGAAGAGGCAGACTTCTCCCACAAGTTGGGGACAAGGCTGGACTAGACGTAGGCCTGCTGCCTCGAGGGAAAAGGGCCTGGACTCATACTTCAAAGAAAAAGATAGGGGCCCTTGTGCAATTAAAGTTAAGAGCAACGTCTGTCCACTTCCTTCCTAGTCATAGCTGCAAAGGGATCGACCTGCGGAACCTCGAGGCACGTACCCGTCAGGCTCCAAGTCCCCTCTCCCCACCTCTGTGTCCGCCCTGCCCTCCAATGGCTGGGAGCTCGCCTGGGTTTGGGGAATAGGGCTGCTTGGGCACGTTGGGCTTGTGAAAGGAGACAAACTGGGATAGAGACCCAGCTCCCCCGAGGCCACCAGCCTACAAGTCCGCGCCCACCCTCAAGCCCCGCCCCCGAAATCTGAGCCTGCTACTCTGGCAGCAGCCCCTCCCCAGAACCTGTCCCCGCGGGCATTTCGCTCAAGCATCTGGGTCAGCGGCGGCAGTTACCCCAGGGCCCACGTTCTGGGAGAAAGTGTGCACGACGCCTCCCGGCCGCACGTCAAACGCCACCGTCGTGGGCTCGGATACCGCCTTTGCTGGCCTCAGCGCCACGACCGCCAGGAGCAGTGCAGCCCACAAGCTCGCACTGTCGCCGCCGTCCCTCCTTCCGCTGGGCGCCGCCATCTTGGGATCGGGTCCGTGGGGCCAGGACCGCGGACGGGGCGCAGCGAGGGACACATTGAGCTTCCCTCGGAGTCCACGTCAGCGTGGGCGCGACCACATGACCAAGAGGACCCGCCCCGCTCTGGCAGCCATCTTGGGGCGGGGTTTGGAAGTCCAGGGAGGGTCTGTGGGGTGAGTGGTCTTGGTTCTGTTGACCTTAACTGAACTACGGGACTGACCGGTAGTCCCGTAGTTCAGCTCTTCCTGCTACTGAACAAAGAACGAGGGAAGTAAACATCGCGCCTGAAGTTTAAATGAGTAAGTGTAGACGGTGTGAGGGAAATGGAAGATGACCATTGGGCAGACACCTCAGAAGTGTTGCAGCCAAGTTTCGCTGATGGATGGGAAAAATTGGTGATGGAAACGGTATGGTGAAAAACGGGATATTTGCATAGTCCCAAAGTATTTCCCCCCAAAGATACTTATTAATTACAAGGAGAAAAGGGGTAATTTTACAATGGAGACACCACCTTAGCCCAATAATCAAAGTTAACATGACAAAAAGGAGACTGCTACACCATGGAGCCACCCACGGGAGGCCGAGAAGGACATACCCTCTCGGTGGCGCCTCTGGAATACCGCCCAGGTGGTCGACCTCAATCTAATTATATGTAAACATAAGACAAACCTAGGTCGAGGGACGTTCTACTAGATAACCAACAGTACTCTTCAAAAATGCCCTGCAAGACAAAGGCTGAGGAACCACCACAGTGACACCAGGACAACTAAACGCAAGGGGGGGTTGGGGTCCTGGATTGGATCCTTGTCTTAGTTCTGGCTGCTATAACAAGTAACAAAAACATCATAGCCCAGCTGGTGTGGCTCAGTGGTTGTGGTCAGTGGTTGAGAGTGGACCTATGCACCAAGAGGTCGCTGGTTTGATTTGCAGTCAGGGCTGTGGGCTCAATCCCGGTAGAGGGTATGCAGGAGGCAGCAATCAGTGTTGATGCTTCTCTCTCATTGATGTTTCTATCTCTCCCTCTCCCTTCCTCTCTCTCTAAAATCAATAAAGAAAAAAATTAAAAAATAAATTAATAAAAAACATTTAAAAGACAATATCATAGACTACAGGGCTTAAATAATGCAGTAATTTCTCACACTTCTGGAGGCTGGGAAGTACAAGATCAAGGCTCTGGCAGAGTCTGTCTATCAAGGGCCCACTTTGGGGTTTGTATTCTGCTCTCTTCTCTTCTTCCTGTGCTCACATGGTGGAATGGGTGTCTGAGCCCTCTGGGGTCTCTCTTTTTCTTTTTTATTAACCCTCACCCAAGGATATTTTTTCCCATTGGTTTTAGAGAGAATAGAAGAAGGGAGGGAAGAGAGAGAGAAACATCAATGTGAGAGAGACATCGATTGGTTACCTCCCACATGAGCGCCGACTGGGATGAGGATTGAACCTGCAACCCAGGTACGTGACGTTGACCAGGAATCAAAACCACTAACCTTTGGTGCAGGAAGGCTGATGCTCTAACCACTTAGCACACCAGCCAGGGCTCTCGTTTTTTAAAAAATATGATTTTGCCCTGGCCAGTGTGGTTCAGTGAATTAGAGCATCAACCCGTGGACAGAGGGGTTGTGGTTTCGATTCACAGTCAGGGGCGCATACCTGGGTTGCGGGTTCAATCCTTGGCCCCAGTTGGGATCGTGTGGGAGGCAGCCAATCTATGTGTCTCTCTCACATCGATGTTACGCTCTCGCCCTCCCTCCCTTCCACTCTATCTAAAAAATATACATACATAAAAATGTTTTCATTGATTTTAGAGAGAGGAAGGGAGAGGGAAAGTGAAACATCAATCGGCTGCCTCCTGCACATTGCCCACCAGGAATCCAGCCGTAATTGAGGCATGTGCCCTAACAGGAAATTGAACCGGCAACCTTTTGGTGCACCCAGCGATGCTCAACTAAGCCACACCAGCCAGGGCTGGGGTCTCTTTTATAAGGACACTGGTCCCATTCATGGGGCTGCACCCTCATGACATAATCAACCCCCAAATATCCTGTATAATACTATCACATTAGAGGTTAGGTTTCAACTTGAATTTGGGGGCAACACAAATATTTAATTCATAATAGTTCTGGACCAGAAAATTGACCTTATAGGGAGAAATGTTGAAATCCAAATAAGATCTATATATGTATATGATAGGGTTGTATTGATGTTAATTTCCTGGCTTCGGTAACCTGGCTTATGCCATGTTGACATTAGGATAAGATGAGCAAGAGACATCAGGGAACTCTGTTTCAAAATTTAAAAAATCAAAAAGAAAATAATCCTTACCTCAAGGAGTTGCCAGGAGGATTAACTGAAGGAATGTAGGTAAGAGCTCTAAATTCTTGCTGTTACTAGCATTAGATGCCAATGAAGAAATCCCAGATTTTCAACTACAAAATGAATCTCTATTTTTTGGTCACAAATTGCTTAGAATTTTAAGAAAACACCAATGGCCGGGTCTGGAGTGTCCAGAATTAAGCCGCTTTTCCTAGCACTTCCTGACTTGAAAGAAGAGAATAGAGAGAGAAACTGTCATAGGTAACCCCTAAGCTGGGCAGTGTTCCACTTTTAGAGGAACTCAAATCTCTCTACAGCTGCCCCCCCCCCCCCACACACACACACACATACACAATTTCAGGGAGGTCAGGAGGCTACACAATTTCAGGGAGGTCAGGAGGCTCCTGTCCAAGCTGACTGCTCCCAGATAACCTTAACTTCAGAACTCGTGCTCTTTGGCAGTGGTAACCTGGCCTTGTGTTTTGCTCTGGATTCATTGGAAATTGGCTCCATAAATTGGACCACCATCTGTCTGTGTCTTTGGTGTTTTCATAGCATGGTTCCGATCGTGTCTTTCCTGTTCTCACCCGTGACTGAACTTCATTCTGTCACTATGAAGAATTCAATTAGTGGCCAAGAGCTGTTGTTAACAACATACTATATTTTAATTGTGAGCTGATTGGGTCTCCAACTGAAGAGGGTAGGTGTGTGTGTGTGTGTGTGTGTGTGTGTGTGTGTGTGTTTTCAGAAGGACTGAGCCCCAAGCCTCTTGTTTTTCTTTTTCCCTCAAAATAAATAAATAAATATAAATTAAACCACACTGAAGGAATTAAAATAAAAAGCCATCATTCCAAAGATCCTGCTTTCTAATCATGACATGAACTCTAACAGTGCTAAAAGAAATGACTGATAACAAACATCACGGACTTCTCTGTCAGGACCCATAAACAGGGCAAGTGTGGATTTTTTTTTTTTTTATCCTCACCCGAGGACATTTTTCCACTTTTTGTTCAGATAGAGGGGGAGGGAGAGAGAGAGAGAGAATCATCAACGTGGAAGGGACACATTGAGTGGCTGCCACCCGCACAACCCAACCAGGGCCGGGGACAAACTGCAACCGAGGTACATGCCCTTTGCAGGAACCGAACCGGGGTCTCTCTGGACTGCAGGCTGACATTCTAACTGCTGAGCCAAACCAGCCAGGGCGCAAGTGTGGATTTAAAGGGCTTGCATGAAGGAGCTTCGTTGTGGTGTTTTGATTGTGGTGGTGGTGGTAAAGGAATCTGCTCAGATGACAAAGTGGAACAGAACCACACACACACACAGAGAGAGAGAGAGAAAGAGAGAGAGAGAGAGAGAGAGAGAAATGAGTGCATGTGAAAGCTGATAAAATGTGAATAAGGTTTAGAGTCTAGTTTCCTGGTTTGACAATATACCATGGTTAAGTAAGATGTAAGCCGGGCAAAGGATACATGGGACTCTGCTATTTTTGCAACTTCGTATGTGTCTAGTTATTATTTTTTAATACCATAAACATGTTTGAAAGGAAAATGACAAACCAGGAAAATATCTGCAACTCATGTGACACAGGGTTTTATGTCTGTCACTTATGGGTTCTTACCAATTCGGGATGAGATGAACACATCTACCAGGAAAAAAATCAAGCACATGCACAGGGAACCTCAAACAGCATAAAGCACTGATGGAATCCCCACTAGTTGTGGAGGAAACAAGTGGCCATGTATCAACAGGAAGAAACAGACATCTCTAACCTGACACCTCTGAGATACTGAGACCTTCTGTCAGCAGACACTTGTCCTTTTGTAGCTGCCCATCATTCATTCCCCTTTCCTGTTGACACCCCACTTCCCTTTCCGGACCTTGTTATTGGGGCAGGAATGTGACTAATTGAAGTTTGGCCAGTGGATGCTGCCTCATGACAACCAGTGTTGACTGACTGAGGCAGGGGTAAAAGATTCTGATGAAGAGTTCCTGCTTTGAGATGATTGAAGGTTACCAGCTGCCAAGCCTCCTGGGGCAACCATGTCTTCTTTCTCACCAGTTTCTATCATTCTGTGACTTGTGACTAATTTCTTCTCCATTTTATTTCACAGTGGATTAAGTGAAATCCATCTTGTTCCTGAGGTTATTTTAACCATTCATTAACCGAGCTTCCTACCCGTAAAACATTTTGAAACAAGCAACATAGTTCAATTTTCAACCTGTATGACAATGGACTAATTTCGTTCATATACAGAGTGTCTGCAAACCAATGAAGTAAAAAGAAAGGTGGGCAGTCTGGCCAGTGTGGCTCAGTGGTTGAGTGTCAACCCATGCACCAAGATGTTGCCAGTTCGATTCCCAGTCAGGACACATACCCAGCTTGTGGGCTTGATCCCCCGTGGGGGACATACTGGAGGCGGCCAATCAATGCTCTCTTTTATCGATGTTTCTATCTCTCCCTCTCACTTCCTTTCTCTGTAAAATCAATAAAAGAGAAAAAAAGAAAAGTGGGCAGCCCTAGCCAGTTTGGCTCAGCAGTTAGAGCATTGGCCTGCAGACCAGCGAGTCATGGGTTCAATTCCAGCCAAGGGCATGTACCTCAGTTGTGGTGTCTCAGGCCCTGGTCAGGTTGTGCGGGAGGCAACCAGTTGATGTGGCTTTATCACATCGATGTTTCTCTTTGTCTCTCTCTCTCCCGCCCACTCTATCTGATAATAAGTAGAAAAAT